TAACTGATGGTGTGATGCATCCAGCACTGACGGATGCTGTATGTACCTACATCCAAGGTAGCCCCGAACCTCAGATGATGATATGCATTCTTCTGATTGGCTTAATTACTATATTTTTATCAGTGTTGTTTATTTTCCAAAGTGTTGTCTGCTCGGGAGCAGCTGTCTGAAAGCACCCAAGGGTCACCCAGGAGCGCCTGCACCTTGGGTGGCTGCCAGGGTGCAGGGGATGTGCAATAATTTCATATCCCCCAGTAACTTCCCGAAGGGCGAATCTAAGACAAGCCCTGCAACTACTGCTTCCCTGGGCATAAAAACATTGTCCTGCAATCACAGTAACATCACCGGAGGGAACGAAAGTACTCGGGAAAGTTAGTTAGTCAGCCGGGTGCATGAGGCAGCACTTGTGGGCTCACGGACCCTACAAGCTGTGCAAGAGCACGTCCAGGGGCGGCTGGGACGTGCTGCCTCTCTGTGCTGAGACCCCAACCCCAAACCACAAATCCTCCGCAGGATGGAGAGAGGTTCGGCTGCTGAATGACTTGGCCTCTTACCTGCCCTGACTTTTCTTCCCTAGCCTTGGCCTGGTGCTACCTGGGGATGCTGCTGGAAAGGAAAGAAACGTTTTCCACCACCCCAACAGGGACCCAGGACTGTGGCTTCTCTGAGACCAAACCCCTCGACTGCTTTGGCATGGTGCTATACACAGCGCTGCCGCACCAGGGACCGATTCGAGGCAGCTGCCATCGCCTGCTTGGTCCTTCATTCATCTTCCCCCCACCCTTGGCATTTTTGCTCCTGAAAATCCCCCGGGGCAAAGAGGGGAGGTCCCAGGCGGGAGCCAAGACCCTGGGTCCCACCATGTGCAGGGCACACCCCTCTCAGGCCACATGTTTGGCCCCGATGGCATAAATCAGCCCCTGGCAAAGCAGCAGGCAAGCAGTTCAGTGAAAGGCTGCAGGGACAGCAGTACCTTTATTAGATTCCCCCAGCACAGCTGGAAAAAATAAGGAGCACAGACAAGCTTTCAGGCACGTAACCCCTGAGCTTAGCCCCACATTCAGTCCTGCCTGCTGATTTAACAAGAGAGATCAGCTTTCCCCGCAGACCGCGTCTCTTGTATAGCCTTAAACCCTCTCGGTTAAAACACCGCCCTGGCGAATCAATCCAAGATGGTTTTGTCCCTTTGATCAGCACAGCAGGCAATAAGTCACCGACGGAAATGTGTTTCACTTCTGTGGCTCAAACAGGCGATAGAAACGGTGAAAGACAACCCTCCCGTCCTGGCGAAAATCTTCCACGTCCTGGGCAAGCAGGAGATAGCCAAAGGGATATGCAGTGTGGCACTGGATGTCCTGAGGGACCTGCAGCTCAGCCGGCAGGCGTACTGCACCCAGGCACAGGCAAGTCCTTGTCGGGGCCAGCGCAGCGTGCTGGGTGTACGAGGCGTGGGCAGATCCCCTTCCTGCAAGGACCTGTCCTGCTCCTCCAGCCTCCGAGACAGCCGCGGCACTTCTCCCAGACAGCGCTTGTGTTGCTTGTTTAATTGTGGTGAGAAACACGTAGGCAGAAGTAATTGCCTGACAAAACCAGCGAAGGCTGGTCTGGGAGTGAAGCTGCTATCTATCAGCCAGGCAATCTGGGCCAGATCCTGGCTCTGGCACTGAGCGGCTGAGGGACTTCCCCAGGTCCCTCTGGGCAACGTTTCATAAGATGCTCAGTCACCTCACAGAACTGGCTCGACTATTTAATTACTTTAACGCTCATAAATCATTCAGGAGCATCAAAAAATGTGCTCTTTAATCCCTTGATTTTGCCCATTTCCAGCCCCCTGTAAACAGAAGTGCACATTAGTGAGTATTTCCCATTATAGAAGAACCATGAAGATTTCTTCAAATCCCATTTTTCAATAAAATCAGGACTCATTCTGACTCCCTTATATTTAAACAGGATTATTTAACTCCTCATAAAAGGAGGCTCAGTGAAGTGAAATCTCCTCTAGTGGAGTACTTTAATATGTGCTTACAACTGCTCTTCAGAGGCGTTTAACTTCCTTTGAGCTAGAGGCAGGAGGCTGAAAGGTGCAGCATGGAGGTGACCACCAAGTGCCGGGTGGTGTCTGTCTGCCAGGTTTGACTGGAGAAAGCTGAAATGACATTTTAAAAAAGGCTTTTGGTTTCTCAGCCCTTCTTCAGGCACACTCCTACGGCCAAGTGGTTCAACCTCTGAACACATTAGGGCGTGCTGCCGCCATGTCTGAGCCTGGAAGGGGGAGCGGATGGGCTAGTTGTTTTGAAGGACCCCATGATTGCCAGGAACCAAATTTACAGCCAAGGTCAACAGGATGAGCAGCATCTCAGGGGCTTGCACCACCCTTCCTGGTAGTGCTAACCATGGGGTCACGCTTTGGACACCGAGGTGCTGGTGCTGGGCAAGCTGGCCTGGCTCTCTGGTGCAGCTTGGCATGGCCAAGGAGCTGACCCGATGTGTGCTAGTGGTTTGTACTCACATCATTTCGTCATCCGTCCTGCCGCTGGGCACAAGCTGATGAGTTTCCTCTGGTCTCCAGGTCCACACGAAGATGTACCTGCAAGATGTGGAACGTGCCAGGATAGGACAGGGCCCAGTGCCTGACAGAAGGAAGCTCGTGCACGCTAAAAATGACCTCGAAAGGGTCCTCAAGGTTTGTCCATGCCTGAGGAGAAACCTGGACATGGGCCAGGTGAGGATGGGCACATCATACCCCTGAGATCCCGGGGAGCTCCTTGCAGTGTCTCCAGGCTTTCATGAACTCTCAGCCCTAAAGTTAGACCACAAAGACTGAGGTGACTGGCCCTTGCCTGCCTCTGCCTCCTGTTGGGCTTGGTTCCAGGTGCAAGGGAGACGGTAAGGCACAGCAGGAACAGGGAACGGTGGGATTGCTACGGTTACCGTCAGCCTCAGCCGGGAGGGAACTCAGAGAGCTTATGGGAGTGAAGAGCCACCTGCAACCAAGCAGTGGGAGACATGAAACACAGGATGGGAGCAAGACTCCAGCCCCGCACATACACAACGGACATGGTGCTGAGAGCAGGTCAGCCGCACTCTATTACTCCTCTCCCCAGAGGCCGATGGGGAACGTCACCCTTGGAGGCGGCCGTTGATCCCTCTTTTCTCCTGACAGCCCCATTTTGTCCTGCCCCCCCTCTATTTACTATTTTTTACTATTACCTGAGCATGGACGTTGTGCAAGAACTGTTCCTGGTGGATGAAGCTCCTGGACAAAGTCATGGAGTTTGGCCTGGGTGATACCATACCTGAACTGCAGCTCTCCAGGGGCAAACGCCTGTGGCTTAAAAGCCAGGAAAGACTCGCCATCGAGTGCTTCAAGCAGGCCATTGAACTGGCCAAGGTGGGCTCTGCTGAGGCCTTGCGGTGCCTCCTGGAGCCACCGCTCGTGCTCTTTGGTCAGAAGCTGAAGACAGAGATGCTGATAAGGGAGGTGGGGCGGTGGGTTGAGAAAGCCAAGGAGACGCCTGAGCCGGAGCTGCTGGCGGCCTGCGGCAGCCTGGTGCTGGAGCGATCCGGCGCCCCGCAGCCCTGGTCCCCGGGGCAGGATGGCGCTGGCGGAGCTGCTGGTGGCAGCCGTGAGG